TATAAGATATCATTGACTAAACAATACCCATCTCCTCACTTAGTCAACTAAATAGACTCATTTGTGTCAGAAGGTATCTCTCTAGTTACTAGGTTATTCGTGATATGTGTTCTCCAATCCTCACCAAAATTGATTGGAGTGGTCAACACTCTCTCTTCCCCTATATATGGCTTCTTAAAAGTTTCAATCAACACATCTAGAGAGAGTTTTGCTGAGTTCGAGCTTGTAAATTTGGATAGAAGGTCTGCCTGATTGTTATCTTTATTAATACACGGGTAACGATGATTTCCTTACCTTTACTTTTTTTAGAGAAATGAACTTAGACTTTCTAAAGATACTTAATATAATGGGTTCCTTAGTCTCATATAACCTTTAACATTCACTAACAACCAACAAGGAGTAGATAAGAATATGGAGAGAATACGAATTTAAAGTCTTTGTAAGTCTCAATCTCCCTAAAAGAGCTTTATATTCTTATGTATTATTAATGGTTAGAAACTAAAAACAGGTACCATATTCAAAATCTTTTCCCTTTAGACTTATGAGTATTATTCTTGCATAATTCCTCGAGGACCCATCTATATATATTCCTCATTGTAAATATAAAGGATTTCTTTTCCTTATCATCTGGATGCATAAGGATTTGATGATACATAGAGTTAGTGTTAAAAAAGTTAAAAAATTCAAAACCTATTATGGTGTCCACTAATTTATCAATCTTAGAAAGTGAAAAACTATCATTTAGACAAGCTTTATTCAAATCCATGAAGTCTACACATATCCACCATTTACCAGTGGTTTTCTTTACCATTACCATGTTTTCCAACCAATAAAGATGCATCACTTTTAAAATAAAACTAGATGAGTAATTTTCCCACCTTCTTGATTATTGTCATTTATCTTTTGCCTTAAAATTCCTCTTCTTCTAATGAATAAAGGAGAAGGTTGGGTCAACCCTTAGTTAGTGTGTGGCTATTCTAGGACTAATCCCAGGCATTTTTTAGTACTTGAAAGTAAAATTAATTTTTTAGATGTTTGGAAGCTCTATCAATGCTTGCTCTTGCCTTAGTTCTAAAATCGACCTTATCTTTGTGGTTTCCTCTTCTTCCATGAGAAGCACACCCTTCAAATCTTCAGTAGCCTTAGTCCTCTCTTCTATCGATTCTTTCTTGAAACCTTATTGGTCCACTACTAAAACCTTTTTCCCTTTAAGATATGAAAAAGTATATTGTCTAGAAAACTCATGGTTTCCTTGTATAATGGCTACTCCTCTTTAAATGAGGAGTTTTAAGGCCAAATATCTGGTGTTGATCACTGCGTTGATTTGATAAGGGAAAGGGTCTTCCTAGAAGAACATTATAAACCAAACTTATATCAATAATTATAAAGGCATATTATAGAGTTAAGCATTTAAAGTAGGTGTCAATGGTAATAGGGACCTCCAATAAGCCTTTAGTTGTCACACCTAAGCTAACGATCCTAATGAAAGAAGTTTTTAAAGGAGTTAATATTAATGGGTTTATCCCTATTTTCATATCATTTTTCTGGATAAGATGTTAACTACACTACTATAATTGATTAACACTCTATAGATACGATGATTGGACAAGACAGTTAAGATGGTTAGAGTATCCTCATAAGGGAAAACCATTCATTCCCTATCTTCTAGCGTGATCGTGATGAGCTTATGCCATATGTTTGGTTGATGGACAATAGTAAAAAACTTGTTTCCTATATTTTTTTACCACTCCTATTGTTACCCCTTGCAAAAATGCCACATAAGATCACATTGATCTCCTACAATGCTTGGCAATATTAGTTAAACTCTTATCTACCTTATTCGGTAGGGGTATCCCTCTTTACAAACTATTGGATATAGTCTTTGGCTATTAATTTTTGGCTATTAACTGCTCAATCTTCTATCTCAAGGCAAAGCATTGTTTGATATCATATTCTTTATGTCAATGGAACATACAAAATTTCTTAGAGGTGTGAGTGTAAATAGTCATCTTTATTAGCAGGGGATACCCAACAAATTCCTTACCTTTATTATTAGTAAAGATTTCAGCAATAATGGTGCTTATAGAAGAGGAAAACCTTTCAAGATATACTAGACTTTTACAGGTCGATCCCTTTTTGTTATTCCTTGAGCTTTGATTTTGATTAGAGGAATAATTCCACTTGAAAAGTACCTCAAGTTGGCACTCTTTATAAAAATAAAGAGGTCCATTTCATAATTCAATTTCTTTTTGTACCCGTATATGATTTTTCATGACTTTTTTCACCTCAAGAAACCTTCTGTTTGGTAAAGTATAAAACTTTCTTTATAAAGCACATTCATTTACCCTATTTATTAAAAGCCTCTAAGGCCATAACTCAAACAACTCTTTCACATTTAGCATCTTCTCATTAAACCTTTTCAAGCACACCCGTATAGACTTACTGTCTCGCTAGGTAATCCCAAAAAGCTTTGTGAAGCTTTGTTTAGTGGGTATACTTATATTAAAATGTGTCACTAGTTTAATGTATAGATAGTTAAAGCCTTTAATAGAGTCTGGCTATAAATAATTATACTAGGCATACATGGATCCATAAAAATTTGTAGAAAGGATATTAGACATCGCATCACTGCCTTAGATGACCAATTCCAAGATACTCTATGTATTTTATACATGTTATCTTAAGTTGACGAGATCATCATATTTATCCAAGCTTATTTTGGTGGAGATGTAATTTTAGAGAGTCTGGATATTTAAAACTTGCCTAGATAAGAGAGAGCCCCGTACTAGATAAGGTTTCTAAGCATTGATCATCTCCCAATCCTTTATCTGTTGGGTTTCAAAAAACTTAGATAGTCTTGTGCAAAATGACAAGAGTGATAATTGTCATCTATCTTGTGGTAATGAGAAGGAGTGCACCTCGAATATCCACTATATGTGGGGGTATTGAAGTGAATGAATACTATATTATTGATTTTTACTTGATTTACAACATATATGTGTCTTTGATATGTCCATATCTGGTCTGATTTGAAAGTTATATAGTTGAGTTTGTTGTAAATGTTCTTATTAGTCTTTGTATTCTATATTTTTTTTATGTTTGATCCATTTTGCTTAAGATTTTTAAAATTTTTATGTTTTTTGGTGTTTAATATATATATATATATATATATATATATATATATATATATATATATATATATATATATTGCTTTGATTTTGTTTTGGGTTGTTTTTGGGTCAAACTAGGATGTTTAGTTTGGTTTATAGTCTATCCAAAGATTTCAGGTAAACCTAGTTTGGTCAACCCGGTTGGGTCAATGGCTAAGGTTTTATTTGGTTTATCATTATTTTAATAAAAAAAATTTAGGCATGTCCAATGCCCGGGCTTGGGCATTACTCCTAAACCAATAACAAGAGTGCTAGACTAGGCCTAGTAATTGGGTTCATAATTGGTCAATAATTAGGTCTATAATTAGTCAACCTAGTTGGATCAATGATTATCATTTTATTTAGTTTATCATTATTTTCATAAAAAGAATTTACGTGTGGTCAATACCCAGGCTTAGACATCACTCCTAAACCAACAACAAGAGTGCTAGACTGGGCCTAGTAATCGGATACATAACCATGGTTTGGTCTAAGCCATATTTTCAAATCACATTGAGTTTTGTGACAATTAAAATTTTTTTAAAAAAACAAAAATACTAAAAAAGCTTTATTCTATCACCTACAATCCTTAGAGGTGTTGGTTTCCGTACTCTAAGGATGGATTTAATATAAGTTTGTTGAATATGTAATTATAAGATTGACAGGTATTTTTATGCTCAATAATTATATTATAAAAAAATATTAAATAAATAATTATAGTATTGGATTTTTTTTATTAAACACTTATAATGTCTTGCGATACTTATAGTATCTCTCATATTCACTAATTAAATTATAGTTATTTATATTGTTTTTCTTTTTTTTCTTTATATATAACATGTGCTAAATATAGAGTAGCAATTAAGTAAATTAAAGTAATATTTGAGCGTTTTCATAGGTCCATAGTCTTATATACGAGCTATTAATGATGTAGAAAACAAAAAAAGAAAAAAAAAGCCCATATTTAGTGCCAAAATTTGGCTAGAAGAGTGACCTTATGTGCATATTGTTTGTCTATTTAATGAATTGTTAATCGTAGATCACAACGAGAGATTGATTGATCAAAATTTGAATAGAGGGGATTCTATTGGACAATTGATAGTTTAGGGATCTAATTGAAAAATACATGATAGTTTGGAGGCAAATCTATCCTCTTCCTTAGATTGTAAATATTTTAATAAATTAAAACTTAGTTAAGAAAAACAAATTTATTACTGTCAAATTAAAGAAAATGGATGGGGTGATCAATTAAGAAAGTTAAAAAAAAAAAATTGCTTTCAAATTAATTGCAAATATTTTAATGGAAACTTAACCAACATTAACAACTTGATGAATTTTGAAAAGAAAAGAAAAATACAAAAGGGATAATAACATGGAAATGTTTAGTTTAATTTTGGAAGATTTTATATTTGAAGGATATTTTATATTTTAATAAATTATGAGCAGTGCTTTCATAACAATCTAACACTAAAATGAGCTTTATCATCTTTTTATTGTCCAAAAATAGAGTGCAGTAAATCTTATAAAAGAATTTATACAATTTTGTTCCTTAACTTTTCAAATTTGAACATTATATATCAGATTTCATGGTTTTCTGTGAGAATTCAAAAAAAAAAAAAAGGAATAGAACTATTAATAAAAGGTATCATACAATCCACCTATAATTATAATTTCATCGCACATGCATTGGGTAAACAAGGTAACAGTTGAAAGTGAATAAACAAAAGATATAGCAGATTCTAAATCTTTTGCAGACACAAACCCTATACAGGCCATGAACTATCTTATTATCTATCGATAATACATATAGATTTCGTCTTGATGACGTTATTAATGAGAACTTACCCTACCTTAATGATTCTTATCAGGAAAACCAGGATCATTTTGATCATTTACAATAGTAGATGCAAATGAATGGCCTATTTCTGGAGCCTGTGGAGAAGAAGCAACAGTACTGGTGTTCTCAGCGATTTTATTGCATAAGGTCATTTGTAACTCTTTGAACCTTTTTTCCAACTCAATCAGCTCCTGGATGTTAAGCTCGTCAATAGCAGTATCCCACCAACCTTTGCTATCCATTTCTTTGATCTTACTCTTTAATTTGAGACCCTTTTCCTTATTCTCGTCCAGATGATGTTGCATATCGTTACGTTTTTGGGTTAGATCTTCGATCCTCATCCTCCGGTGAGCCTCCACGAGATGATGAGTGCTATCCATGTCCAATGGATCTTCAAGGAAACGATTAATAACTGATTCAACCGAAGGATGACCGAAAGAGAAGGGCTTACCTGCCGGTGAAAACACTGCGATCGCAATTTCTGCCCTAGTTAAAGTAGCCAGTTCGCTAGCCTTTTTGTAGATCCCAGATCTACGTTTTGAGAAGGTGATTGATCTATCATCTTGATTTTCTATTCTCTTCATTTCCACCTTTTGCCTTCCTTTTGTTTTCTTGGAAGCCATAACTCAAAACTAAGACACAATAATAGATGAGTATTAGAACATGTATGATGGCACTACGTACTTGGTTTGAGATGTACATATAGGAAGATAAACTTCAATGAATTAAATGCTACAGGTAATGAAATTATCATTTTTAAGCTGTACATTTCCATTTTTAACTTGCACTTGTGTGTTTGTGATGCATTAGGGTTCTGATGAAGTGAATGCAGATAACAGTCTAGTCATACCATATAATTAATTTAAAGAAAAGAATTATAATGTTTTATCTGATATTTAAATCATGTTCTGATTTTACTTTGAAAAGTCCTTCAAAATAGATCTAAAAATTTTTTTTATTAATTTTTTATTTAATTTTGAGTTTTTAATGCTAATTTCAATTTGATGTTACTTCTCTTGTCTGCTTAAAGATTCTAATATTTTTCTTCATTGTTTCTATGTTAAACTTGCATTCTCAATGCATCAATAACAGTCTAGTCATGCTATACAATTAACCTAATAAAAAAGAGTCATAACTTTTTGTCTAACATTTAACTCACGCTAAGATTTCACTTTGAAAAAACTTTTAAATTAGATAAAAAAAAAATTGTTTTATTTAGTTTTTAGGCTAATTAAATCTTATGTTACTTCTCTTATGTGCTTAAAGATTTTAATTTTTTTTCTTCAATGTAGAGTGTGGTCTAATATCATTTAAAGAGTTTATATATATATTGAATTAGACCTTCAAAAAGAACTTGTTATTTCTATGATTAGAGGCATTGCGGACATTCTTTTTAAAAGTTCCAACTTCCTTGTCCCATATATTTAGCTTTGGTTGATACAATTTGATTTGTATCTTACTTTCGAACTATCCAATTCCAAAATGTACACATAATTTGATTGATTAAAGGAAGCGAATGAAGGGAAAAGGATGGGGAAAATACAAATGAGTTAATCTTGTCATTGAAAACTTTTTTATAGGAGAAAAGGGATCATGAGTAGAAAACTTATTAGTTGATTTGTTTATGAAAACTTATTAATAAGAAGGCAAGGAAAGGTTTTTTAACCTCCATTCTACAAAAATATATATTTCTCTCCATATTAGGGGATAATATGAAGGGAGTGACTACATAAAATAGAATATGGAGTAGAATTTATGACTATATACTCATTAGTTACTTACGAAAATCTATCCAAAAGGCATAAAAGTAACTTGCTAAGAAAATCTTTTTTAACTTTCATTCTACAAAAATACATATTTCTCTCCATACTAGGGGATAATATGGAGGGAGTGAATACATAAAATATAATATGGAGTAGAATTTATGACTATATACTCATTAGTTACTTATGAAAATCTATTCGAAGGACATAAATGTAACTTGCTAAGAAAATCTTTTTTAATCTCCATTCAACAAAAATATATATTTCCCTCCATATTATAATATGGAGGGAGTGAATAAATAAAATAGAATATGGGTTAGAATTTAAGACTATATAATCATTAGTTACATACAAAAATCTATCCTAAAAGCATAAATGTAACTTGCTAAGAAACTCTTGCATTCCCATTCCTTAACCACACAAAGATAGATTTTTAACTTCCATTCATCTAGTTACGAATCCAAAAAGGGAGAGAGTATACTTTCTTCCCTACCTTTCCCTTTTCATAATTCCTTCCGTTGCCCTTTCCTTCAAAAATTCTCAAATACACCTTACAGTGTTTTACTAATTAAGATATACTAGAAGTTCATTGAAAAGCCAAGCTTTTTTTAACTTTGATCCTTAAATATTTGAGGTTTTTTTATTTTAATTTTATCTTTTAATATTAGATTTGTTGAGTATAAAGTTTCATAATTTATTTTAATTTATTTTTAATGGAGTTATATTGTTCTCATAATACAGGTCTTGAATTTTAGGAATTAATCTTGTTAAATCAAGTTATTTTTTTAATTTTTGTAATTTTATCTATCAATGTTAGTTTAATTTCAAAGCAAACTCTATAATTTTCATTCAAATCACTTTATATGGAGTTATCCTAGCCTTCTGACTCAGGTTTGATAGGTTAGTCCTGGTTGATTAGGGTTATTTTTTTGTTATTTTTTTTCAATTTAATCCTTCAAAATTATACAAGTTGATTGAGAATTGAGATTTATGTTTGATAGGTTAGTCCTGGTTGATTAGGATTATTTTTTTGTTATTTTTTTCCAATTTAATCCTTCAAAATTATACAGGTTGATTAAGAATTAAGATTTATAACATTTTCTTATTTGCTTTTTATGCGGTTATCATGGTCTTATAACCCAGGTTATGGATTAGGTTGGTTAACTCAGGTTTTTTTATTGAATTTTTTTTAATTATATCATTCAATATTGGGTTGATTGAAAATTAGACGTTATAATTTATTTTGATTTGTATTCTATGAGGTTATTTTGTTCATATGATGCGAGTCATGTGTTTAGTCGATTGACTTTGTGGTTTTTTATGTTATTTTATTTCACCCTTAATCATTGGCTAATTGAGAGTTGAATTTCATAATTTCTTTCTATTTTCTTTTTCTTGGGTTATGCTGGTCTTTTGATCCATGTTTAGAAGATTAACCCGAATTGACTCGATTCATTTTTTAAATGAATTTTATTTTTAATTTCATCCTACAACATTGGGTTAATTGAGAATTTAATTTAATATATTTGTTTATTTATTTTCAATATGATTATTATGGTCTTATGACTAGGGTAACGCATTTGACAAGCTAACCTGAGTTAATCTAAGTTGATCTAATATGTTATCATTTTAATATTAAAATATATCCTAATTTTTTTAAGTTAAATTGCTTTTTTATTAGTTTTTTAGGTTGTCTTTAAATATGTCAAGTCGATCAGGTCATATATGGTCAATCTTCATATAGTTTTTTTTTTTTTTTTGCTAAAAGATATATTAACAACACTTATATTTTTTATATATATTCAAAAAATTGATCTGAAGATATATTAACAACACTTATATTTTTTTATATATATATTCAAAAAATTGATCCGACTAGCAGCGTAACACAAACAATAATCTAATTTTTCTTACTAAATAGAGTGGCAATCTATAATGTGTGTGTGTGTATAAATTCAATAATAGTATAACTATATTAATTCTGAAATTTTCCTTACCACTTTTTTTAATTTCTAGTGAATATATCACATAGCTTAGTCTCAAATTTTAGAAGACAAACTTGAAATATTCCTAACATTCCTCTTTATATAAACACCTTATTTTCTTATTTTAGAAAGTACAATTTATGTGTAATTAATTTATGGTGATATAATTTATGAAAAAAATGGTAATACAATTATATTTCTTTTAAAATCAATCACATCCATTTAAATTAATCATTAGTTAGTTATCTATTAGAAATTTGATTAATTAATATGATTTAAATAAATTATGGGTAAATAAGAAATTAATCTCAAATAACCTTTTGATTTTCTTACTTTAAGAACCCTTGGATTTTCTATATTTAATTATTGATTTATGGTAGTTAATCAAAGGCTGATTATGGTGGGAATTAGTTCTTATTAATTCTTCAACCATTTAATTTTTAAAATTCTTTATAAAAATAGAGGGTAAAGAAAGAGTTTCAAATTTGAATTTTTTAAATTTTACATACTCTTCATCGTCTCCTATTTTACTGTTTTTTTTTTCTCATTTTAAACTTTGGTTTTCCTCTAAAACCTAGAGCTTAAGTTAATTTTGTTGAGAGATATTTGAGTTCCATATTCTTTAGTTCAAATATCTTTATAAAAACAATATGTATTAAAGCTTTAAAGCTAAAAAATTCATTCTTGACAACAATAAAAGTTTATTTATTTTAAACTAAGTTAACACCCTTCTTTATTTTAATTTAAACATGGATATTTTTTCACTACTAGTATGCATGCCAGAACTTTGAATTAATATCAATTGCAGTTTGATTATATGGTTATAATTTTAAACATGTATAAACTCAAGGCTTTTGTTTACCATACCTTTGTGACGATCAACTAAATATCTTTGCTCATTATTCTAATATATATTTACAAACTTTGATTTACAATCTTAAGGCTTCATTATTTATGTTAAACTTTGTTTAGTTTATCTTGTGGAAAATAACAAAAATAATAACAATAAGATAGATTAATTATAAAAGCGGTTTTTAGTATCTTTAAAATTTAATTTATTATAAATTTTTTATTTTTTTATTTTCTCATATATAAATTCAATTTTAATTATATATGATTTAATTTATGATATTTTGGTTTATTATGATTTTTTATTTAATGTTAGAATTTTTTATATATATCTTTGTTTTAAAATTGTAGTTTATCTTCTAAAACTGCATTTCATGCAATTTATTTAAATCACTTTGAGTTGTTGCATGATATATATGAATTTATGAATTAGAGTTCTATAAACTATGTTTATATCTTTGTTTATTATACATGTTTTCTTGCAATTTATTAGTATAATTATGCATTTTATCTTTCTTGTTTATACATATTGTTTTGATATAATGTATGTTTAATTTGAACTAAAATAAACAAAAGTGTTTTTTTATCATGCATAATTTAAATATTGTCAATCAAGTTGTTTTAATTCAAGTTTTATTTTATTTCACTTGCATGTTGCGGAGCCAAAACATTTATTTATAAATATTATTGGCTATTTTTTATAATTTATATCATGTTTTAACTCGAGAATTGGTTTTTACAACCAATATTGTTTCAACAAGTACTACTTTGATAATAACAATTCCACCATCACCTTTATGATGCACAATGAGAAGCTTAAAAAGTTTAATAAATTAAATTTTAAATGGTGAAAATATAAAATGTTGATTTATATGCCCACCTCAAACTTGGTTAAGTTCTTGAAGGAGTTAAAGTTGTCAAATAATTGATTAAACAATATTTTGAATAGTAATTTCATGATATTTTGAATAGATTATACAATAATATATGTATAATTCAATCAAGAGTGTAAAGAAATTTTGAAAA